ATGCAAACCAGACTTTTCCGTCCTTAAATGATCAAAAGTGGATTCAGACACAGCCTTAATGTTTTTGCGCCATGAGCTTTAGATTCTGTGCCTAGATTGTTAAAATAGAGCCCTTCATATCTTGATAATAGGCGGGTAATAAGGCAGTAGTTAACAGCATGAATGGTGACCTAATCTCATGTCTAACCAAAGAGCAACACAGACCTTCATCTAAACCTGAAAATTAAAGTTGGGATTGATTTAATTTCTGCTGCTTTCGCTCAGGTTCTTATGAATGCTGGTAATGCGGCAGGCGCTCTCCTGTTGGTCTAAACATTTCCATATTTTGCAGCATAAAGGAATCTTCTGGCCGGGGATCTCTCTTTGATGTGATTTACAGCTCAGGATTAAAGTAAATCCCGCTAAAGGATCCTGCTGAATTCCAGGGGTGGCGAGCATTCTTGTAAAGTCAGAAACACAAGCAGACGCAGAGCTGATCTGCAGAGCCGACAGAGTCACGCTGACACTAATGATGGACCGCCGATCAACAACTGCTGAAAACACCCATCACTGCGTGCATATTGATCTGTGACCGACTGGCAACGATGAGCGAAACACCAGCAGATATCTGCGAGGGCCTAGTCCAGACTACAGCCACGTGTTCACATCTGAGTCTGGACTCTGACCGACACACAGCCGTGGTGAACCTGTCTCATCCAGTGTTCAGCATCAGCCGTATGCTGTGTTTCTCAGAGATCACCAGCAGATCTCTGCTGTATTACTCAGATGCTGATCAGACTCACCAGCATATGGTGGACAAACCACTCTAGACTGACTGTGTGATCAGTGGCACCAGCTCTACATGATTAAAGAGTGATCTGTTCATTTGATAGTGTGATGAATTAATGTATGTGTGTGTTTTCAGTACATCTCAGCACTTCTGTTCTCAGCAGACTCACCTGTGTCCCGCTCCTGAAGTGAGTAAGTAATAACAGTGAGGAGTGTGTGTTTGATCCCTCAATGCACATCAGGATCTAGAAACTGGACTACTGCTTTTGTCAGATTGAGTAATGTGTTTGGTTCCCCTGCTGTATGGATTGTTAGTCCAGGAACTTTGCAGACACGCTGAAAACAATGTCAGACGCTGATTGTGAGAGTGTGAAGTGTAAGCGTGCTGTGGTTGCGAGTCTCTGGGGACGGGCAGCATGTTTTCAGGCTCCGGTGTTCCCGTGTGCCCGCTGTGTGCCAGCGCCAAGCTCCGGGTCCAACAATCACAGCGCAGGAATGCAGAACTCACTCATTCCTCAGCGAGAGACCATACAAGGCTGAACACTGAAACCCTTCTCAATCTGAGCAACAGCAGCACGGCTCTGACGGACACACACCTCACCGTGCACATCCAGAACCTGCTGCTTTAAATCATTCATTCACTTTCCTCCAGCTCAGTCTCCATTTCAGACACCAACAGCGGAATGAACCGTGAACTAACACTCTTAAAATGTAGTATGTTTTTTCATTAGCTACATAACTTGTCTAGTTAACCGGGTTAAGCCTGTAAACGTGACTTTCAGCTGATGAAAGATTGTTCCTGCCACTGAATAACGAATAAAAAGGTTTATTGTGGCTTTTTATCTCAGAACTGCATGACACAAACTCAAGGTTAAGTTTATTTCTGAACTAGTTTCGAGAGGATCACATGAAGTTATGATTGACCGCAGCCGGTGCTGCATTAGCTATCATAAGATCGACCAATCGGAGAAATCTGAGCGCACATCAACAGCCAGATTTCCTTACCTAAGTTATCTTCGTCTCATCCTCTTTCCCATATTAACTTTCCTCAGGGGTTAGCACTGTGGCCTCACAGCAGGAAGGTCGCTGGTTCGAGTCCCGGCTGGCTCAGTTGGTGTTTCTGTGTAGAGTTTGCATGTTCTCCCGATGTTGGCGTGGGTTTCCTCCGGGTGCTCCAGTTTCCCAAACACATGCACTGTAGGGGAACTGAATACAGCATATGAGTGTTTTAGAACTGGGCATTCACCATATAAACACATGCTGATATAGTTGGCGGTTCATTCCGCCGTGGCAGACTCTAATAATCAAGCAATAGGCCAAACGAGTTCTTGAGACCTACCTGAGCTCAGACTCTCCTCTCTCCTGATGAAACAGGAGGGAGCCCCGGGCTCGAGGATGTTCTGAGCTCAGGGCTCTCTCCTGGGACAGCATGCCAAGCATGCTTCATTATCAATCAGTGTGACCTCATGAAACTGTGAGTTATGAAGCCGCAATAGTGAGTCACAGAAAGTTTCCTGAAGAATCTTGACTCTGTATCTCACACTTCTGAGAAATAAAGCCACGATTACCTGATATAAACCTGCAATCACGAGAAAAAAGTCAAGAAATCTGAGATCAAAACTGCGGGTTATCAGCCAGTCATCATAGTAAACACACCAGAAATGACTCTTCTAAATGTGTTGTCAATTTCTGTTAACCTGCGCTTGGAAAATAATTAAAAAGAAAATCACAGAAGAGCTAATAACTTGTGCCCCATGAGTAAACTGAATGTATAAGCCGTAAGTATGATATATGTGAGGTAGTTATATTGAGGAAGCATCACGTGTTACGACAGTATCTCATTAGGTCAGTAATTGAGCTTGTCCGTCTCTCATGCTGCTGTTTTTATATATATATTTAATTTTGCAGCGCTGTGTTGATGTTTTTCTGTCTTACATGCGTGATCCACGCTTCTCATACGGCTGTGATGCAGATGTGTGTGTAAGTCACTTCAGTTTATCCTAAAGAGACAGACAAAAGCGCCCCCTGGAGGCTGATATTACACAGCGCAGGCAGAGGTGGAAACTGCTGAATATCATACTCCAGAACAGGGGTGCCCGAACTCGCTCCTGGAGGGCCGGTGTCCTGGAGAGTTTAGCTCCAAGCCTAATCAGACACACCTGAACCAGCTGATCAAGCTCTTACTAGATACACTAGAAACTTCCGGGCAGGTGTGTTGAAGCAAGCTGAAGATAAACTCAGCAGGACAGCGGCCCTCCAGGATTGAGTTTGGACACCCCTGTACTAGAAAGAGTAAACAATAGAGCACATGTGTCAGAGCAAACACAGCTGAAAGCGTGAGTGAAGGAGTATTGAGACTGAGTATACACTGTGAGCATTACTGCAGGTTACAGCCTGCAGATTAATGGTGTATAATTGCAGCAGTTTAATAGGCAGCAGCAGCAGTAGTCACAGTGTGGAGAGCTGCACGTCTGTGTGTTTCTGTCTACGGTTACTAACAAGCTTAGTTTACAATGTTTACACTGCTCAACTTACATTACATCTGAATCCCAAACATCAGAAATGACAACAGATTGTTCAGATTTAATCAATGTCAGCTGTAATGTTATTGATTAATGCACTTGATTGATTTAATTTACTCATTTTCCTTCTGCTTTTCCCCTGGTTTACCACAGCGGAATGAACCGCCACTTACTTGACAGAGTTATACATTTTAATTTCAAGTGTTTAATTTAAAATTGCATCTTTAGTGATTTTCAGCTAATTACACTGTCATAATGTGGATTTAGGGGGGTTTGCAATAAAAGCACTAGTGGATTGAGCTGGTTTTGAAGCAAAAGGAAATCTAATTTGTTAAAAACCAACGAATTGTCTAAATTGACTTTTAGTCAAAGTCAGAATTATTGAGCCTGCTGTATATTTCCCCAGTCTCTGTTAAACAGGGCAGATCTCTCCAGCACATTTCTAATCATAATAGTGTTAATAACTCATCATCTCTAATATCTGATGTCTTTTCTCTGTGCCATGATGACAAAGGAAACAATCACAGGAGACTTCAACTACAAATAAGTAAATGAACAGATTCAATCTGCGGATTGTGTGTGCGCAGATTCGTCATTACCCATATATGGTCAATCCCGGTCTGGATCCGCTGTGTGCATAGATATATACATTAGATGTCGCCTACCCTGTTGTTGTCTATTGGAAGGAATGCGTCAATAGAGCCGCCATTTTTGTACAGGGTAGCGCTCCTTTGAAATGAATGTGGGACCAAGCTGCAGTGGAGGACTGTGGCCATCCAGAGCCAGAGAATTACATATATATATATATATATATATATATATATATATATATATATATATATATATATATATATATATATATATATATATATATATATATATATATATATATATATATATATATATATATATATATATATATATATATATATATATATATAATTTTATTTTTTTAATAAATTACGAAAATTATATTTTACATCACTTTTCTACAGTGATGTTTAAGTGATTGCACAGGCATTCCTGACAAAACGCTTGTATTTATGTGTATGGAAATGTACTATTTACCCTCCTTGTTAAGTTTGATCTAATTGGTGTCCTGAAACACACCTCTTCTACTGCTTTCATTTCTTATACTGATGAAGGGAGCGATTCGTTTGTTGAATGAATCTCAGTTATGAACGACTCCTTCACTAACGTTAGCCGACAATAATACAAGTTTCCGGCAGCGCAGCATCTCGTTGTCATATTTCTTTTGCATTGTTTGCTGATTTTATTCAACAAAACTAGCATGAGCCGAGTGTTTAGTGTGAGTTGGAGCTACTTGCCATATGGTGAATGCAGTAAGTGACTGTTATCATCAATAACATTACCTGTGTAGCACAAAAGTTCAGAACATACAAAAACGTAAACAATTAAACCTTACCTATGTAATGTTCTGCCTCTGAGCTTTGTTTGCTCGTTACTACACCTGTAGACAGCACTAAAGTCCAGCATCTTCACTTAATAACACTGTCTTGGCTAGTGCGGTTGAATGACGCTTGTCCTGGGAGCACTGTACAAATATGGCGACGCTATTGACGCATGCTCAGGGTCCCTATGCGATATCTAGTGTATACATCTATGCGCTGTGTGTGTGTGGTTCTGCAGGCCTCTGGTGGCGGCGCCGATGAACTGCAGCGGTTTAACCGTGCACGCGCTGCTGTTTGTGTGCTATCAGTGGAAGATGGCGACCAGAGTCCTTCACAGCTCCTGCTCCGGCCTGTATCGGGCTGCAGGACCGGCCCGGGGCAAAGGACACGCGACTGCCGTTATCAGGTCGGCCTCTTTATCTGCATTAGCCGCTGTAAAACCGCTAGCGTTAGCGTTGCGCTTTAGCAACAAGCGAGCCGCCGATAAACCAGTGTGCTGACGGAGAAAACAGATAACACTAGCAGCTCACCACTGATCTGAGCACAGTTAGCTACTGTTTACCTCCACTAATCAGTGTTCTGGTGTGTGTTTACTGCCGTGTGAGTGACTGACGGAGTGTGTGCTGAGAGCGAATCTGCGGCTCAAGGTCATCATTCAGTTATGAACAACTTATGATGACGTCACGATATCACAAACACACCATCATCATCATCATCATCATCATCAGACACACTGTGCAGCTGCAGAGTTACT